CTGGCCTTACAGCAGTAAGCAGATATCTCTGTCAAATGTTCAGTCACGAGAGCTCAGCCAGCCCTTCCGAGTGAGAACCACACACTGCAAAGCAGAGCCAACAGCAGCAACGCCTTGTGCCACACTGCAGCACATTGTTCACCCTTCAGCAGCACATCACAGGGCAGTGCAGCAGGGCAGGCTGGCACTGCATCTCACTGTCATTTGCATTACCTAAAGCAAGGGAACAGCCTTGGTTCACATTCACAGTAACTGTGGTAACCACACCATGAGCTGTGGATATGCACTGCTTCCCATGTATCATACATGCATAAGAGTATTAAAATTATTGTGAGCATATTTATCCTAAAAATTTCAACTGCAGGAATTCACAGAGTAACCAACAATGCCCATAAAGTGTTTCTTCTAAAGAAAAATGGATTATACCACATTATACCACAAATACCCTCATTTCCGTACCATATTTGAGGTAAAAGATGTTTACATTTTTCTGAGAAAGTAGAATTAATGAATAAGGTCATTAAATGAACTGTTTCTTGGGAACAGGTTTAATTAATGGGATATGGACTATCTTGACTGAAATCTTCCATCCTAGAGATCACCACAGATACCCCTGTTCAGCACAGTAGCAATATGTCCAGTACARTAACTTAGTATATTTGCTTTTACTGATCTCTCAGCAAGTCCTATATAACCTCATTTATGTCATTTTCAACACTGAGATAGGATTCCAAAATTCAAATAACACAATCCTCTTCGTCAATAACACCTGTGATCCCACGAAATTCTTYGTTTCTTCTTTAAGATTTGATTGAATAACGCAACCATGCAGCTGGCAGGTAAACCAGCAGAAATTCAATGCAAGTAACCTCATAACTCTGCTGAGATGCCTCACAAATGAGATGTTTGGTGTTTGTACCTCCCTCACTGATAGGGCAATAATTCAGTGGTTTATGACTGAACAGCAGCAGTGTCCTCACTTCCCCTCCTTCAGCAAGTGCAGCTCAGGAAAGGTTGAATCATTCAGCAGTAAGAATAAAAAAAAGCTCAGGTGATTTGCAATTATAGTATTGTGTTAGGGGTTAATTTTTGGTAATCCCATTCAAAGCATGCTCACAGTAGCATAATAAAAACTGATATTAATTTGGTAATAATAAGTGAGACCTAGAGCATGTCATGGGGATTAATACCAGATGAGAGGTGTGACAGCATAAAGTCATCTTGAGGCCACCCCAGCTAGCTATTCATTTTGTGAGGAAATACCACATTTCATCATTACTGCTATTAGATCCTGTTTGGAATTTTATTCGAAGGAAAATAAACATCTTTCTCATACAGCTTTAAATCACCCAAGTGCYACCACAATTAATTCTTTGATTACCACTACTGCTGTTATGTTTTTCTGAACAATTTATCCTTAGAAAAGGATCCAATTCTTCTCTATCTTCCTTCTGTACACACACCAACCCACCAAAAGCTTTTATAACCATACTTGACTTGGAGTAAAACCCATCACATTTTCATTCTATGAGAGAAATAATGAAAGGAGGCTTGGCTAAGTACTTGAGCTGGGTTTCGTTTCAGATATTAAGAAAAACAAACACTCATGCCCATAAATATAAAGCCTTGACAAAACAATACCTTCTTGAACCTGCAAGTCCAGCAATCACACATTTGTCCATATCTAGGAACCAGAACATGTGGCTAAGGATGCTTACATTGGTTAAGGAAATAACAATGGAATAGTCCTTTTAGAAGTTAACTGTAGACCTGCCAATAGAGTGACCTACATTTGCCTGGTAAAAGCATCTGTGAGAGGGGGCAAAAGAAATACGTTCAAAAAGGAAATTCTGGTTCGACATTAAATGATGCACTCTTCCTTTCCATTGCTCCAAGACCTAGAAATGMAAACTGACCCTATGCAGGGTACAGAGCAGCACAGCAAACTTGCACATCAGCTTCTGGCAGCAGAATAAAGACCCAGAGCTATGGCCATGTGAGAGGTTGATGATTTTTGGATTATTTCTTCAGTACAAATTTCTCCTCTCACTCCTCTTCCAAATACAAAAAAAAAAAAAAAAACAACCTACTTTAGGGAAGACCTTTTCTTATTAACATACATCTTTAACTTGCACTATTCGTGCAAGAATGCTTTAATTATTTATTCTGGTGAGAACCGTGATTTTTTTCTTTCGGCTCCTAAAAACCAGATACAAAGTACATATCATGCTCACACAAGTGGACACCAAGGTTTTGCTGCTCCACTATGAAAGCCCACATGCATAGAAACTGAAGGTGGCAGCTGCAACATCCTACACTCAGCACATCGGTGTGAAATTGTGGTTCTGTCRTCTCTATCACCAAAATARAGAACTGGAAATGCAACATTTAAGAAGCACTAAATCCTAGTCCATGAATGATATTTCCTTTCAAAATCTGTTTTCTCTCTTAAAGCATGTTAACCTTCTGCATCTATCTTTTTTTTACTTTAGCATTTGTGCCTCTCTATAAAGATGTCTAAATGCTTTAATATTTGTTCACTATCTCCTCATTCCTGTTTGCTCTTATCTGTGGTGTGCTCCATGCACTTCAGTTAGGTGAAAAATAACAAACCAAGTCTGTGCTAAAGGGAACTAAACTCTTCAAAGCTGGGGAATGCTCCCTTCCTTTGCCAGTGGAGAGCCTAGAGAACCATCAGCTTTCTTCAATACTCACTCCAGCGACTGACTATAATCAACACATTTCAGTCATGCAAGAACCCTACTTATTTGCACTGCCCTAAACAGAAYAAGGAAATTTTCTAAACCACGCTTCTAATTGTATACACCTCAAACCTCATTCCCTCTGAATTTCATGCGCAGTSTTAGTTCCTAATGCCTAACTAAACTAAGTTTCAAAAGCTGAAAATGTGAATATCCTCTTCAAAGACAAGGTATATAAAATTTTATGATATATAAATTCTGTTTTGGATTTTGCTAGAAAATCCCTAACCAGTTCCTTTTCAGCTGCTCAGGAGCAGGCAGAGAACTTTTCCACTTGTTACTAAATGATACAAACRTACTGGGCTCCTACACAGGACTACCATTGCTGTCAAAACTCTTTGCCTCGGAAGCCATCCAATTTCATTCTGCCATGTCATCAATGTGAGCTTATCTCAGTCACAAATGTCCATTCCTCTATTATTGTTTCATGGAAGTCTGCTAAAATTACAGCTTTTATATAAAGTCCAATAMAATAAATAGAAATATCCAAAAAGTTTCCACTGACTGTACAAATTGTGAAAACACAATTTGTGTTTATTTAACAGCCTGACACAAATTGTGTATATCATTCATTTAGTGAATGCTAAGCACAGTTCTACAGTATAAAAATCATGTGTAGAGTAACTCACATTTTGAAATCCATTTTCTATATACCTAATAGGAACAGTAATCTCCTTCGTAAAGAAACTTTTTACTTTGGATTTTGTAAATCAAGAACTATTAGTTTTGTCATTCAAATAATTCCATTTTCAAATAACATTTTTTGTTCYCACTCTGTTTTTACAGTCACCATCAAAGAATCTCAAAGTTATGCAATGCAACAGGCTTTAATGCCACCAGGGACCTCCTAAAACAAGATGGAAATWACTTATTATGCAAGTAAGATTAAAACACTGACCTTGAATCCACAGTCTTTTGCCAAGGGGCAGCATGTGTGGGGGTGGAAAATCAACTRTGGTAGAGAAGCTTGTACTGTGCTTTGGAAAGCACAAGAATTTTCAAAAGCAAACACCTCCATCATACAGGAAAGTGAGTATTTTAATATTTCATATGGCAGGGCATTTCTTAGAAAATATCACAGCTTCAGTTCTGCACACAGTCTGTATCATTTTCTGCTCACCATCCTCTCATGCTCCAGCCAAGCCTGCAGCGATTGTTCCAAAC